ATTTCATGTGCATGTTGGCATGCGCTGTAGTACATTTCATGTGTGTGTTGGCATGCGCTGTAGTACATTTTATGTGCGTTCTGGCATGCGCTATAGTACATTTTGTGTGCGTGTTGGCATGCGCTGTAGTACATTTCATGTGCGTGTTGGCATGCGCTGTAGTACATTTCATGTGTGTGTTGGCATGCGCTGTAGTACATTTTATGTGCGTTCTGGCATGCGCTGTAGTACATTTTGTGTGCGTGTTGGCATGCGCTGTAGTACATTTCATGTGCGTGTTGGCATGCGCTGTAGTACATTTCATGTGCGTGTTGGCATGCGCTGTAGTACATTTTATGTGCGTTTTGGCATGCGCTGTAGTACATTCCACATAACACATTTAATGTTTGAGAATGTTCGACTGCGTAAACGTAAACCCAAACGCACGTATTACACGTTTTGTGAATAACCAAGGACAATTACCGTGACCAAAAACGGTCTGAGATGAAAACGTCCTTTCACAGGCTCACTAATTTGTACTAGGATTTCTAAAAATGTAGATTTCTCTCGCGATTTTGGGGTAAAATGCACTGACTCTTCTCCGGTACCCTTTCCGGACCTTCATGTGAAAACTGGTCACCAATACCACTTACATTATCCGGTAAGCAACATCTGGCTGACCATCGGCTCAACATTTACCCCTATCCTCCCCCTCCCGGATGTTCAGAAATGCGCATGTGTATGACCAATATCTTACCGGGGGTATTCACAGACTATTTCATTTTCACAAAAGCTGCCAATCGGAATACACTCGTCAATAGTGCAACATTTCCAATATATATTCCGAAAAAAAAAGCACGTTACCAGATAAGGTTATTCAAAATAACCATTAATTTTAATTATACACATAAATGTACATGGTCTAATCTAAATCTTGAAATTAAAATGATAAATCACCTGGAATCACTGGAAGCACAACGTAACTTAAAAGTAGCTTGGTATATATGTAAATGTTTCATAAATCTAAAATTATAATTGTTTGGTTGTTATCGCGGAAAACCACTGTCCCCCTCGCAGTTATGGAGGGACTGTGCCCTGGCTAATAATGTAAGCGGACTGATTTATTGAAGTGGTGGGGTCATCACCGGGAAGCACCTGTGACGAGCACATTTTCACCGTGTTCTTGGTAATCGCAGAGTTGTCTTTCGAACGTCCTATCCTCTACTTGGCATTGTTTACAACCGTACTGCAGATAATCCTGAACCAACGATTCTAACAGGAATAGGTGCTCGTCGACAACGTCGGGGAATGTTCTCCGCATGTAATCGGCCAGCTTGAAGACGTATTCGCTGTTAAGTCCACTCTGTCCACGGGCCTTGGCGATTTCAATGGCCATAGTTGAGAGAGGGGCGGGTCCCATGTAATGTGGATTATCCGGGGTAGCTATGAACACGAGCACGGTCAAGCATTCGCAACTGTCTTTAAGTTTGAAATCGACGAAACGGACGTCGTATCCCCCAAGGACGCTTTCACGAACATTCAAGTGGTGCAGTGCGTCCATTACTTCCTTGTTACCGCGGACCTCAAAAGCTGTACCCCACGACCTTCCCTATTGATTGAAGAGAAAGCAAGTTAAATGACAGCACTAACTACGGGCTATACAGATGCAGGTATGTTAGGTTACATTTATATCGCTGGTTGGTTTAATACCTCCTTCCCAAAAAATACAAGATATTCATAACCTCTCTGCAAGTTCACAACTCGTCTCGTTTACGTCATATCTCGGCTTAATATGACGTCACAGCATGTCACGCCCACACATGTCCGCTCATGAATATGCTAATTACTTGCTTCCGATCAAAACAAACCTGACCTGTAGTGGTTAATTCACCTGAAACAA